AAGATTTGAAGTGTTACAAGAGAGTAAGAAACATAAAAAAAAGATGAAGGGGAGATAAGTACGATATATGTTTGATAGGAAAGAAAGAGCAAACCACATCAGTGCACCCGCCAACCACACAAAAGACTTGGTAGTATTTCCAAAATATTTAATGACACGTTCAACGTTTCACCCTCAACAGGCTTCATCAGAAACATTCAAAATATAAATGACTTCACAAACTGTAGAAACCAGAGATTCTCATCATCATTATCATCCAGAGCCAGATCTGCGACAGGCATCGGCGATCATGGTTCTCCATTCATTCCCTTGCTCGGATGCTCTTAAAAAAAGCTACGTTTCCATGATCTTTCCCCGTTACCCATTTTTTTAGGTTCCCTAAGTAGGTTGCTCTGGGCCTACCCCTGCTTCGTTTGCCTTCGATTTTGCCAGCGAGAGCTAGATGTTCAAGACCCTTATGTCTATTCAGGTGTCCCAAAAACTGCATTTGTCGTTTTCTGATTGTTTTTAACAATGAGCGTCTTAAGACAAGATAAGATAAGATAAATCTTTACTATCCCAGAGGGAAATTTTGCTTGGCTGTACAGGACCGTAAAAGCACATGTAGGTATACATTAAAAAATTTAAGTTATATATTACTCTCATTAAAATTCAATACGAAAAGAGAAGTAAAGCTGATAAAATGTCCATGTCACATCAGATGCATCAGTCAACCACATGCAGGAATTTAATTACAAGACCTTTAGAGTTATATATAGATACATACTCGAAAGAGCAATACGCAATGATGGTTATTCTGACAATAGCCTTATGCTAGAAGGTAAAAAAACTTGTTTTATACCTTTCTTTCTTTGTTTTTAGAGGTACATATCTGCCGCTGCGTGATCTGACAATTTGTGTGGAAAGGGGGTGTGATGGGTCCTTTATAATGCTGTTTATCTTTATTTTACTTGTGGTCTTATACATTTCATCAATTCTAATGTTATAATTTTGGTTTCAGAATCATCAACGGGCGAGTTCCTGTCCCTTGATGCAACAACAACAACAACAACCACCACACAACACCCACAACCACAACAACAACCACCACCAAAAAAACACCACCCACCTCCAGAGGTTTCGACGTTTCATCACCATGAATCATATGATGACGCAGCAACAACAACAACAACAACACCCACAACAACAACCACCACCACCACCACCACAACAACAACACCCACAACAACAACAACAACAACAACAACACCCACCTCCAGTGGTTTTGACGACTCATCACCATGAACCATATGATGACGCAGCAACTACAACAACAACACCCACAACAACAACCACCACCACAAGAACACCCACAACAACAACAACAACAACAACACCAACACAACAACAACAACAACAACACCCACCTCCAGTGGTTTCGACGACTCATCACCATGAACCATATGATGACGCAGCAGTTTTTCCTCGGTGCTAAAACTTTTACAACACTGGCCGCACTCAAACGGCTTCTCCTTTTTCCCTGGCTGGGG